AAGGATTAAGCCCCAAAATGTGTGAAGGCAACCAACCAACCAACCAACAGAAAAATAGGTGGAGAATACTACGGGCACTGACAGAAGAAACACAAGCAGCACATAAACGTACAAAAATATGCTCAATATCATCAATAATCAGAAGGAAAATAACTGGAAACGATCCAAATATAATCAGTAGTAGACGGATAAATAAGTTGGGATATATATACAGAACAGAATATTGAAGAGCAAACATTTAGTAGACGAATGTACGCAGTCTTATTGATTTTATACAAATAAAGCTCAATAACATTTAAAAGTAAACATGCACATGCCATGGAGGGGATGGTTGTGAAGAGGTAACCTCTGGAAGACTGGGTTCCCATAAGCTCACTGGGAGGCTCTCCATTCATGGACCCACAGACAGACGCCTGCCGTTTGGAGAGGGATCGGAGGTGTGTTATGAGTCAGCCACAGGAAATCCTCACCTGCACAAAGTCTCCCCGTGCAGATGCTGTGCGGTCACTGCTAGAATGCCTGCTGGGTGGGGTTCTTGCCATCGCATCAGGGTGCTCATTTCACTTTTGCAGCATATTAATTAGCAGAATGCTAACTCTGAAGTCTTCTTCCCTATAACTTGTATTTCTTCTTTGATCATTTAGATTCATGAAGAATCGTTCCCTTTTCGTGTGGCAATCTCTCAGCATTTACAAGTAAAAACAGCCTTTCCTCCTTGCTGGTGTTGTTCAGTGGTTGAACATCTACTTATGAACCAGGAGATCAGGGTTCCATTCCCCATTAGGGCACATGCTGGGATCACGGACTCCATCCCCAGTGTGGGTGTGCAGGAGGCAGCCAATCAATGATTCTCTATCATCATTGATGTTTTTATCTCTCTCTCCCTTTCCCTTCCTCTCTGAAATCAATAAAAATATATTAAAAATAAATAAATAAATAAAACAGCCTTTCCTCCTAAAACTTAAATCTACACATGAAATAGTGTCAAAATTTTTAAAAATGTGTTATGCTCCCTATCCTGGCTCGAGCATATTAAAGTTTTTTTTGAAGGGTGGCACCCCAAAATATAACATGATATCCCACATGCCCTCTAAATATATCTATTTCCTGCCATGAACTCTATAATTGAAATATATTTTAATATTCACATTTAAAACTTTCAGAGACTCATTATTTATGACAAATTTCCATAAATAGATGTTTGTTTTGTTTTTATAAGAACAGTACATAAGCTTTCACTTTAACATTAACATTATAAACTTGGCCCTATAAAGGAACTGCAAAAATAACTTAAGTGCTTTTCTATTTCACCCATTCTAAAGATCTGTCTCAGATTAACATGAAAACTCATCAGGTCAAAAGGCAACACCTAATTTGGGAGAATAAAAACAACCTGTTTCTCACGTTAAATTTACTAAGAGAGCTAATTTATATGAAAATGAATTCCATCCTTTCATACTCTCAGGTAGTGTTTTGAATGCCAACTGACATGGAGAGGCTCATCATTAATGTTCAATTTCATATAAAAATCACTCTTTGAATCCGTTTTCAGTGCATCATTTAATTATATAAAGAGTGAAATGTTTCAGGGGGCGGGAGTAATACAACTTACAGATGAATTTGTGTAAGTTTACTGTTGATGGTGCCCAGCACGATTCATGTCCAGTTGAAGAATAGTGACAGACACCAGCCTAAACAGGCAGATCTGGTGTCAATCAACTCACTGGAAAAAGAAGCAGATGACCAGTCTTCAGAAGGCATAAGTAAAACCTAGGAACAGTAACAACAGAATAGTGCCCGGCTGGTGTGGCTCAGTGATTGAGCATCAACCAGGAAGTCAAGGTTCAATTCCTGGTCAGGGCACATGCTGGGTTGCAGGCTCGATCCCCAGTAGGGGATGTGCAGGAGGCAGCCAATCAATGATTCTCTATCATCATTGATGTTTCTATCTCTCCCTCTCCCTTCCTCTCTATGAAATCAACAAACACATATTTGGGGGGGGGGGGGGGGGGAATCAGAAACATGAGGTTAGTCCATTGAGAATTGGTGTAAATAATCACAGATCACTTTGTGTACATAAGTCCTATCAAAATAATCATTGTGTGATGAGCCGAAATAATTGTTCCTTCTTAAATTGTTTTTTTAAACCTGTGAGAAAAAATAAAATCAATGCTATTGACTGCAGACAGAAAAAATAAGGCCTTTAGATACACAGCAGAGTTCAGTCCTAAACAATGACACAGAGGTGCACCAAGATTAAGCCAAATCACAGCCATTTTTCAATAAGAAAAAGGAGCTAGTAAGAGGAGAGGAATGGATGTGAGACAATCTACAGAAAGGTCAGTAAGCAATTCAATGTTTAAAGGATGCACAAAAGCCAAGAAGGTATTTATAGGAAACATCTAGATTATTTTCTTTTTGAACTATTGGCCATTCAAGTTCTATTGTTTTCTTGAGGATAATCAAACCACTTTTTTTTTACCTTATGGAATGAGGCTGTGCATTTTATATGAGCTTCCAAAACTTGGCTCTCCATAGCAAATATGTGCCAACAGCACTTGTAATCTGTATATTTTGAAAGTTAACATTAGGTACTGGAACTCTGGAGCTGGATGGCCTAGGTTTTCACCACAACATACTAAATGTATGATCTTGGCCAATTTATTTAACTTATGAGTTTTTCATCTATTAACATGTAGATAATGTAATACCTAGCTCTTAAGGTTGTTATGAGGATTAACATTTTAATCCCCATTAAGAGACTAAATAGCATCTGGCATATATAAGTATTAAATAAAAGCTACTATTAACAAGCATCTCATGAAAAAAAATGGATGATGTTATTTAGAAGTTTAACTTAAAACAGCCAATGATCAAAGAACACTATAAGACACTTGCCATTTTCAGAAAATAAAATGTAATCTATCTGCATCCACAATGAAAGATCACAGAAAATACTGAAAACCAGTATCTCTAAGCAAAACCACCACATTAATGGATATGAATAGCCATTTTTAGTAGGAAAATATTAGATTAAGTTCCCAAAGACGATATTTCATTCACGTCAACAATTCTGAATCACTAAATCAAAATCTGTTTTAGATGATAGTAGAGTGAAGTTTCTGATTTTAAAAAGGGAGGGAAAATGCTGGACTCAGGTAAGAGTGTAAGAATATTAACAAATATTACATCAGAATTAAGGTCAATTATATCCATTCATTTAAGAAAATAAATCATATTCAAGTATTTTCTAAGACTCACTCATATATTTGAAAACATAATTAAAATGTAAATAGAGCCTTGGCTACTTAATCTACTTATACTGCTGCTTAAGGAAACTAATACCAAATAATTCTGATTAAAACGTGAAACTAAAACTTCTACTGGGCAGCAATTAAGTATCTGAAAGTCACACAGCTCATTTTACTTGAAAATACATGTTAATATATTTACACTACCTCCAAATGAAGTTCCCCAGCCATCCTAATTAGTGAAGTCTTACCATATGAATATTCTCTTTTGTTAAAATGATGAGAAACTGTGGCATTTAGGTATGCAATAATACTTGGGATACTGCCCAGGCTACAATAAAAATCAGTGAAGGCACATGTTAAACAAGCACTTTATGAAGAACACTTCCTTTAAATGAAGAGATGCAGGAAAAATTGGACTGATTTTCCATGTGAACTCCTGGGGTGTTTTTTGGAATGTCTTGATAATAAGTGAGTGTGTGAAAGATCCTCTATATCCTATTCATTCATTGTTGCTATGGCATACCCTTTATAAATATTAATGCTCACACATGAAAAAGAATACACCTATAATAAGAACACTGCTATCTACAATTTGAGAAGATTGAATGTGTTGATAAAAAAACTAATTAAACAATGAAACATTTCCTCAATTAAAACTTACAAAAAAATAAATGGACAGGGTTTGTTTTTCTTTTAATTATTCAGATATAAGGATATTAGCACAAGATCAGTCAAAGTTACATTGAACTGGCTAGAATTACAGCTTGGGGTCAGATGGGCATCAGTTTATAAGATTACTAGAGGCCCAGAGCACAAAATTCATGCACAGGTAGGGTCCCTAGGACTGGCTGGCAATCAGGGCCAATCTGTGGGGTGACCAGTGGGGCGATCAGGGGCCTCACTCATGCCAGCCTTTGCTGGCCTGGTGCCTCCCGCTTGCTGGCCCCGTCCCCTGCCCCCACCACCAGTCGGGGCCTGAGGGCTGAGGGCAGCTCCTGCATTGAGCATCTGCCCCCTGGTGATCAGTGTGCATCATAGCAACCAGTCATTCCACAGTTTGGTCGATTTGCATATTAGGGTTTTATATAGATAGATGGTCACTGTAGGGACTTTAACTGAAAGGAAATGAGCACTCATTATTTCAGGATTTTTTTCTTGACAAAAGGAAACCATGTCATTATAAATTCCAAGTTAGGAATACACATTATTAAAATCTACCTAAGCATAAAACATATTTATATAGTGCATGCCTCAGTTTTTTTAAGAGCAGTTTCTATCTTAGTGTGCCCAAGATTTAGGAAAGCAAGCTATCACTCTTATTAATTAGGCAGCTAAAATGCCATCCAACCTTTATCTTCTGCCTCTATCACACACACATAAGACACTAGAAACATTCCATCCTCTTTTTATGGAAGCATCATAGCAGAAAACCCAGTCACACACTGAAAGTTAAAGGCAGAGTTGAAGATACTTTGATTATCTGACCAAACATACTTCTAATAGACTTGAGCTGCCATGGAAGCTTTCTGAGCTTGCTCAGTGATCTGACAGTGTCTGGTCTTAGTGCAATAAATCACATTTCTCCCTTTCAATGATCATACTTCCCTGTCTGAAGAAATGTGAAATTCTCATATTAATATCCTAAACACAAGTACTTCATACAATTCGCATTTAAGTAGCATTTCACCTCTTTTCAAACTGTTTCTCAACAAAACAAAACAAAAAAAGAGAGCCAATGAAAATGGTTCATGTCATCTGTGTGCAGGCTGATAAGCTGAAAAGGGAATATTTGATTTTCAAAAGAGCAGAGTTACAGACCATACCTTCCATGACATACACCAGTGAGCCCACGTCTCCTTCTTTGATGATGCAACTGTCTTTGCCATACTCCACTGGGTACATACAATCCACAATCTCCTGGATCTGCGACAGCTCCAAGTTCTTCATGAAGTCATTGTCAAGGATGGCTTCCTTTATGAGATCCTTGGACCTAAGACAAGAAAGGGAAGATTTACTGGCACATCTGACAAGTGCTTTCAGTCTCTGAGGGTTAGCAGACCCAGAAAGTACAGTGCTGAGCACACTACACACGCATTTTGTTAGGAATCCAACCATTGTCTGAAAGACCTGAGAACACAGTAATTTCATGGCCACAGGAAAGGCTCTGAGAAATTTTCCTTTAAGTGAAGTATCATTGAATGGACATGTGACAAACAAGAAAATCATACAATTCCATTTTGTTTTAGAATGTCTTTTAATAGCCACAGAGACTGTGGAAAAACCAATGGACACACATTTTAAATTGAAGTTTTCAATTTAATTTAAGAATGTGAACAAAATACAACATTTTACAGAACACTATTATTACTGTATTTATGTATTATAAAAGAACATCAGGATGTATTGTGCCTCTTCCATTAGATTTTATGATCCATGAAGAAATAATTTTTAATTTTTTTTCTCTATTCTATGCCCAGTGTCTATCTGCCATAATACTGGTTATAGTATGAGTATTCAATAAGAAATGGTAAGAACTGGATTCCTAATCAGCTGTTTGAAACCACTGGTAGAAATATGAGTTATTTATTCATATCTCATCCTTCTGTAAAGAATATTTATTTCTCCAAGCATCTAAATTGAGGTAACCAGAAAGATAAAACTCTACTGAACAAGATGTTTCAAACACATGTTTTAGACATGGGATTAAATGGGTAGCCAGTGGGGAAAATACTTTAAAATTCTATAATTGGGATTCAGTGTTTGACAGGAAAGTTTTGCAGAACTTAAAAGATGGTGATAATTTGATTCACTGGGATAATAAGCTCCAAATGACTTCCCAAGGATATAAAAAAAATCAAAGTGAATAGAATTTTAAAATATTTTGTCAGGAGATATAATCAGAATACTGTCAGAGAAGTCAGAAACTGGCTAAGGAGAAAGCAAAGACCTCAGCAAAATAGAGGAAAAGCAACACATGTGGAATTTTATATTAAATATCTCAATTTGAAAAGCATTTGGCTGCAGCTGTCTTTGTCGCATTTCCTTAGCAAGCGGCTTTCAGGGAAATGACCTGCAGTAGTGAATACCGACTAAAGCATCAGACCTGCCCATTTCTGTGTGGTTTTCATCTAGACCTCAGTCTGACTGGACTAGCCTTCGCACATTATGTTTTATAATGATTTGGCTTTAAGAAATGAAGGGTCGCCAGGCCTAAGTGGCTCAGTGGTTGAGCATTGACCTATGAACCAGGAGGTCACGTTTCGATTCCAGGTCAGGGCACATGTCCAGGTTGCAAACTCAACCTCTAGTGTGGGGCATTCAGGGGGCAGCCGATCAATGATTCTCT